TGACTAGTTGTTCGAGGAAGTTTCGGAAGTTTTTGTACTCTTCTGACAAGGAGCAATAACAATTTTCCCGAAAATAACAGCAACCACCCCCGTCCCACACACACACACACACACCCTTTTCCCCTTTCTTCCTAAAGATCGGTCCACCGCTGGCCAGTCGGATTGGTGACCTGCAGGAAATGTTTTATTTTAAAGTCAGTATCGACTATCACTACCACTACAACATGAACCAGTCCAAACCGTACAGGTAATGTATCGAGATGGTTAGTTTTTACGAGCGGTTTTGTATAAAGAATTATTCTATTTGTCTGTGGTGCTTAAATATGCAATTATGAGTTACTCTGAATTAAAGCTGAAGGTTTCAGACCGTGATAAAAGTATGCAGTTTTATTAAATGAATTACATCAGCCACTACATTGTTATTGAGCTACAACTGACCTTCGATATTGATCCTTGCGCGTTTCTTTGAACAAATAGTTTTGTGACCCCCTGTAAGTTCGCTTGGAGTGGAACTCCCAGTTGATCGTCAACTTTCTTGACTATGAGAAGGTCTTTGACAGCATAGACCGAGTAACACTGTGGAAGATACTGGGACATCACGGAATCCCACAGAAGATGGTTAACCTCATTGGGAGCATGTACGAATGGACAAGTTGCAGGGTTATACATGATGGCCAGCTCACTGACAGCTTTGACATCAAGACCGGTGTGAGACCGGGATGTTTACTATCACTTTTCCTCTTTATCTTGGCAATCGACTGGCTGATGAAGGAAACCACCAGAGGACACAGAAATGGTATACAATGGACCCCACGGACACAGTTGGACGATCTGGATTTTGCAGATGACTTGGCGCTTCTGTCACACACTCAGGAACAGGTGCAAGCAAAGACAACACTTTTAAACAGCCCATCAGAGTCTATTGGATTGAGGATCCACCCCGGAAAATCGAAAGTCATAAGGATATATGCACTACGAAAGGAGCAGGTCACTGTACAAGGAAATGCACTAGAAGACGTCGAATCCTTCTGCTATCTGGGGAGTATAACTGACAGAGAGGGAGGAACAGGCGCTGAAATAAAGTCCCGCATTGGAAAGGCACAGACTGCATTTATTTCTTTGAACAGGATTTGGAGGACCAGTGATATCTCATTACGAAAAAAGTTTAGAATTTTCAACTCAAATGTGAAGTCAGTCTTGTTGTGTGGATGTGAGGCATGAAACACATCTCATACGTGTATAAAGAGGATCCAGGTTTTCTTAAACAAGCGTCTGAGGAAGCAACTGAGGATCAAATGGACAGACAGGATCGCCAACGAGGAAGTATTAAGAAGAACGAGACAGAGCCCAGTCAGAGATGAGGGGGGAAGAAGACGTTGGCGATGGATAGGACACACTCTCAGGAAGTCAAGCAGCTGCATAACAAGAAAAGTGCTAGATTGGAACCCACAGGGTGAAAGATCAAGGGGAAGACTACGTGGAACTTGGAGAAGAGTCACG